AAGAGAAGAAAAAAAAAAAGGGGGGGGGGGGGGGGGGGGCGGAAGAGAGGGGAAAAAAAGGAGGGGAGGAAGAATAAAAAAAAAGAGAGTGAGAAGATAAGCTTTATGATACCATCTACATGTTTTGTTAGTCTTTAAGGTGCTACTAGACTATTTGTTGTTTAAGTTTTTCCTGTTACAGACTAACTTGGATACCCCTCTGAAGCTTCTGAATAGCAGGAGTGTTGTTCTTTCATGTTTACTGTACCTGCAGTAAGACAGTACCGCCAGGGATTGTGAGCTGTAAACAGTACTTAGGGGCATTCTCCCAGGAGAGCAGCTGAACATCTTCAATAGCACTGTAGGAAATGGAGTTTTCCATATACCCAGTTGGCTGCAAGGAAATAAACAGAGAAAGAAAAAAATAAGCAACTACTTACTCATCAAAAGTTTCACAGCATGGATTCAAAGGCATTACACCTCACCAAAACTTAACTGTATTTGGTGGGAGAACAGCTGCATAGTGTGATTGTCTTTGATGGATGACAGGCAGCAGGACAGAACACAACTCTAGGCACTCCCCTCTGGAACTTCAGGTCCAAATCACAGGGAAGGTCACATACAAAGTTGTCTGGTGGCCTTACAATCATCCCATCTGACCCTGTCATGAAACCACTCAACAACTGGGTGGAACTAGGACTTCAACGGGAACCTGAACCAACCCCTTGCTGCATCTGGAATCAGGAGTAAAGTGCTGAGGGAGCCCATGGTAGCAAGCTTGTCAGAAGATTCCTAGGGATAGGAAAGGAGGTTAACCATTAACTGGTGGGCTGGCACAGTCCCAGTCATCTGGAGCAGCTCCTGTCCACGAAGGGCTTGAGGGCCTCAGCAGCCAGGAGGACACTCCAGCCCCCACCTGCACCCCTTCTTGGTCAACTGGGGAAACATATTTTTAACTAGTTAAACAATTAAATGGGATTTTACATCTCTAACCCCTACAGGTCATTATTCCCCCCTAGATGTCAGTCCATCCCCCACTCCACTTACAGGAGAATTAAAACCACAAAAGCAGACAAAACTAGGAAACAGCTGACGTTAATAATCAAGCCTGGGGATGAAGTTACAGTTGTTGATCAAGCCTGTCTATACAGAAGCAAGAATATGTTTCCCAGATGCACACTAACTCTGATCAAACTAGTGCATTAAACACAGCAGCGGGGCGGCACCAGCTAGCTGCCAGAGTATTTACCAAGGGTGGGTGGGATTGTACTTGGGCAGCTAGCCCAATGGCTACATTGTTATTTTTAGCAAACTAACCTAAGCAGAACTGAGGTGCATTGGTCTGTCTGCCCTGGGAAGTATCGTCCCAGTTGCTGCGTAGAAAAATCCTATACAAAAACGCGTTGAATTGCATCGGTTAAATGAAAAATTTGCAAGCTCAATATTGCAAAATGCGTGGCAGTGTCTATAGGAGGAAGATACTTGGACTAGACTGGCAAAACAGCAGTGTAATATAGTTAAATGAGAAGGATTCGATTTTTTTAATTAATAGAATACCAAGAAACAGATTCCACTATACACTCATACGAATTGATGAAAAAAATATTTCCATCAATTATAATAAAAATGTACAGATTGACATAGAAAGAAAAATGTTGCTATAAAACTTAAGTTTTATTTAAGGATATTTCACATTTTATATTGTCACAGTCGTATAGCTTTAATTTTTTGAATCTCAACATCAGTGCAATTATTTCTGACTCCCCCATTGTCTGATCCCCGCCATAATTGCCCACAACTGTAAATTAAAAAAAAAAAAAAAAAGTCTGACAAACCTAAATGTGTTGCACTAGTTTTATGGTGTGTCTTTTCTGCCTCCTGTTTACAAGCCTGCCCAAGTATATTATCTAATCTAGAACACTGAATCTATCTAGGGTTGCCAGATGTGCGGTTTTCGCCCCAACTGTCCATTATTCGGGTCTCTAGTCCGGTAAAAAAACAGAAAATACCAAACATGTGAAATGTCCGGTATTTCCTGTTTCCCTCAGATGGAAGTCCAGCGGGGACAATTTTTCCCTGCCAATTTTTCTCTGGCAGGGGAGCGAGGAGCATGGGGCCATTTAAAGGCGCAGCACCCCCTTTTTTCTCAATTTTTTCCTGGTGTTTTTTTTGGGGGGGGTGCCGGTATTTTTCGTTAAACCATCTGGCAACCCTAAATCTATTAATAAATCTTTGGACTCCAAAGGTGTCTTTTACACACCTGGAATGGAGGGGGAAGGAGGAGGCAGGGAAAAAAAACGAGGGGGATGGATACACACTCAAGCAACTGCATCAAGATTTATAATCAAAGGCACCCCCACCAGCCTACTTATCTCGAACATTTAAATATCAGCTTTCTGAAGATGTTGCCACTGCCTGATTACAAGTGACAGCCATAATTAACAAAAAAAATTAGCATGCTGAAGTTAAATGTGTAATATAAAAAAAATTGAATGGAGATACCTATCTCCTAGAACTAGAAGGGACCTTGAAAGGTCATCGAGTCCAGTCCCCTGCCTTCACAGCAGAACCAAGTACCATCTCTGACAAATTTTTGCCCCAAATCCCTAAATGGCCTTCGCAAGGATTGAACTCACAACCCTGGGTTTAACAGGCCAATGCTCAAACCACTGAGCTATCCCTCCCCCCCATTCCTCTGTCTAGTGCGGAGATCATGGACATTGGGGGCATCCCCCGCCAAACCTGAATAAGGTCCATGATCTCCACCCTGGACCAGGAAGGCGCCCACCTTCTCCAGCCCATCAGGCTCCTGGGAGCTGGCAGACTGCTCCGGGGGAGTGGTGGAGGGCTGGCTGCCAGTGGCTTGCTGGCTCATGTTTTGGGGCCACTGGGTCAGGGGCCCCGGTAGCCACTGCTGGCTCTGGGCTGGCAGGCTTAGAGCTGGCACAGGCACTGTGGCCAGGGTCTACCCCTTTAATGGCTCCGGGGCTAGGGGAGAGGAGAGTAAGTTTTCTTGTTTGTGCCTGAGTGGCCACCAGGGCTCCCTGGGAAGGGCTGGAGGCCCCCTATTTTGAATTAAGTGTCTACACAGCACTTAATTTGAAATAGCTATTTCAAATTTGGCATTACTAATTCAATCAACAAAACTAATCAATCAACAAAAGCAAGGAAACTCAATTTAAATATTAATTGCATGTTTTTAACCTCCCTCACCAGTATGACCGTGTACAAATAACACTAGGATATATTCTAAATAATCTACAATTTATTATTTTCACATGTGTGTGCACATATATGAACACACACACTATTCATTCTCTCTCTCCCCCCCATATATACATGTATATCTCCTTATATATGTATATATGGGGGCGGGGAGAGACAGAGAGAAAGTAGGTATACACGTACACATGTAGAGAGATGCAAGCACATGCACTCACACACACACACATGCCCTATTTGTAGGGCCCTGACCAGATACAAAATTTGTATCCATATCCCCAAAAATGATGCCAGGCTCTAACTATCCGAGTTAATCCAATGCTTCACAGCAAACCTGAGACCCTCATCTAGCTGCGCTCAGCACTCATGTAGGTAGAGAACTTGTCCAGCATAGCTAGAGGAGTAACTGTTCTGCTATAATTATTCCACTATAGCTATGATGGGTCAATATCTCCATCTAGACAGGTCCTGACACTGACCCCTGCTTAGCATAAAATAGGTGTTTCTTAGTCTCAATTATTAATTATTTTCTCAGTATTTCTGGTTTACTGTGCTCAGTGTGTTTTGTGATGTCTGCTACCTCTCCCTTTTCAAAGCTCCAGGAAGTATCTGATAGCGGAGTGAGCTGCTCCATTTGGAAACAAACAAAAAGAGCAAATCAACTGGAATGCTCCCATTTTGGAGCAGGGGCTGGGACTGGAGCATCATGGCAGCCCCTGCAAGCAGCACGAGCCAGAGCCTGTGCCACTCAGGGAGCCGACAGCATCAGGGCACACAGCCCAGACAGTCTGGTGGGACGGGCAAGGCATGGTGCCTGCTGGGGCAGCTTGCCAGTAGCATGGACTTGGGAGCTGATGGCAGACCACTCCCAACCCAGTAAATTCTCTTGACCAGTCCCGATGTTGCCAGATCAGGGAGGTCCAGCCTACCCTCGCTTATCTTGAATCTATTACTCCCACCCCACTAGCTTAAAATTACTTTATATCAACAGTTTTGCAAATAAGGAAAAAAGAAAAAAATCCTGTAGAATTACCACCACCTCTGGGGCAAACAGGAGCAGCTCTAACAATCACAACAAAGGATTCTTGTGGGCGAGTGTGAAATAAGCAAATTCCTTTCAGAATGTAGGTACTTTTCAGCTGCACTACTTCCTTCCATAAGGTAAGTGGGTGGTGTGTATGAAAAATCATAATCACGCTTTAAAAGTATAGAAAAGCCCCATACAAAATGTCTGCCAACATGCAGTAGATGCCTGTATAACACAAGCTTACCACTACAAAACCTTCAGAAGACTTTAGCAAGAAAAAAAACATAGGCGTGCAGTTAAAAAAAAGATCTCTAAAAAAAGTTCAGCTTGCTGTAGAAGTGATAATATTATACAACTCTAGCAATGAAAAATTTCACTGTCTCTAACAAAAGCTTGTTGTGCAGGAAGTATGATAACTTCTGCTTATTCATTTACCCACCGTATTGTTCCATGCTAATGATTGGAGTCCCAGTGGTTTCTACTGAAACTATACGTCAGGCGTTGCCTACTGGAGAGTAATTATCTTGTTCTCACAGGAAGCCAAAGGCCCAAGACCCTTTAGAGATTAAGACTATAACACTTAGGGAAAATATGAAAAACAGTATACACAGGGTCTATTAGGCTCAGGAGACAAAGTTTCCAACAACATGCTTTGAAAGAATGAGAAGGCAGGGGGAATCCAAAACCAGCCACAGTAAATATAAAATTAACTGGGCAGGAGAAAAGCAAACATCTCTACAGGGGCCCCATCCTATGTGATGCTGAGTGCCCTGAGCTTCCATTCCCTTCAAACAGTTCAAAGTGTCCAGGACCTCACAGAATCTGATCCTGAGACAAAAAATTTTCCCATATCTTTTCCCCATAATTACACCTTCTCAAAATGTCAAAGATAACTGACCCAGTTCAATCACAGCTTTGTAATCTTTCAACAACTAAACCTCATCCCAAAGACCAAACATGAGCTGATTTTCGTTAATCAACACATTTTATTTAGAAAGAGTAGGATAATTAGCCGTGCCGTCTTGTTAAAGGATCAAAAGAAAACTATGAGTCATAAAGTGGTTTTTCTGTTTTGTTTTCTTCTCTGATAGCCAGAGTACTTTTTAACCTTAGGGCTAATTTTTTATTATTTAAATGTCACTTGT